CGCCCTGTCACTATAGCAGTCTGGTCCACCCTTGCATCAGCATCTCCCTGGGACCTCACTAGTGCGCAAGTGCGAGCTCTTCAACATTCTAACAGGCACCATGATAGCGCAAAATCGCAAATCTTCAATGCATATGTAAAGAAATATACAGTAACCCGAATTTACCACACTCGCAAAATTGCACACAACCGACCATACACCCAGTATGGTATCACGATTAGCGATTTTGCACTATCATACTGGGTGTATGGTCGGCTGTGTGCAATTTTGCGAGTGTGGTAAAATCACATAACAGCAAAATCGCATAACAGCCGAGCATACACCCAGCAGCGCTGCTGATGCCTGAACGGTATGTGGAATGAAGTGGGCGGGCATTGGGAGGCCACTATGGCACAGGGCAAGCACTATGGGCAGTCTATCTGAAGTGTACCTGGCGTATAAGACGACCCCCCACTTGGAGGCATATTTTTCAGGGCCAAAAAATCGTCTTATACGCCGGCAAATACGGTAACAGTTTGCTCTTTACAGCACATAGAGATGGTAATCAGGAGACCAGCATGATAATGAGGAATTTTGGAGTTTCCAGCTCTGGTTGGAGGGGAGAGGAAGGATTAAAGATGTTATCTTAGGTACAAAAAGACAAGGAACAGGCCCACTGAAAAGACACAGATTAACTCAATGAGGAAGCTCGAGATGTGACCTCCCGCCATGGCCCACCTTAATTAGGAATTTTGATGTTCACACCATCCTCTGTGGTTATTTTCAGTGTCCTGACCTTTTCAGATTTACCATCCTCTTCTGTCCACAGGATTTATAATGCACATTGTTGTGCTGAATGCTCTGAGAAGTCCTGCAGCAAAGTAACCTGTTTACATTGTTCAACCTAGCATTTCTCGAGTTTATTCAACTCAGAAAACTATTTTCCCATATTCATAACACACATGGACAATGGCAGACTGAGCATAGGAAACTTACATATAGAATCATCTTAAATAGCAAACTATACGCTGCAAGAAAGTTTTGACCTGAAGAGTTTCTCTCTTCTATTATTTCAAAGTATAAAGAGCCCAACATGTTCCCAAGATGAGGCGCTCTAGGAACTAGCATTTCATGTCTCCAAATTTTTCAGTTCAATTAGCAGATCGTGTCAACTGCCTTGTCCACAATCTTATGAAAATGCAAAAACAAAGTGATTGCTAATAATGCCCTAAAATACTACACAGCCAGAAAAAAGAGCAGCAGAGGGTTTAGATAAGGAAATGCACATGGCTGGAAATTCCTGTCAGGAATTTGTACCATTACCTTTCATGGGCTGGACTCTTCCCCCATCTTTACTGGAAAAAAAAATGTGCAGCATCAGATTCGATTCTAAATTGCCACTGCTCTTGTCCCCCAAACCAAACAACTTTCCAGCTTTCTCCATGTTCAACACCTCTATTCTAGTTCACATTTACCAAGACATTTTTCACAACCTCCCTGCAACACACACACACACACACACACACACACACACACACATTGGTCTCCCTCCTCCATCCTTTTCCCAGTTTCATCCACCTTGCACCCTCTTGCAGAATAATTTTCCTGACAATTAAAAATCAAGTCACCTCTCGGCTCACAAGCTGCAGTGGCTTGCCTCCAGCCAGGATCTAAATTCTCTACAATTTAAATTAAACTTTTTTGGCCTTGCTTGCTGAAACTCCTTTCCTGACTGTACCTCTCCACAAGCTGACCTTGCCATTTTCAGTATGGGTTCTGAAATTCTAGTAGCTCTGCTTTGCTTACTGTTTTCACGGTAATGTGTCTAAATCATCACTGTGTGGTATAATGGAAATATGGATTTGGTCTTTATCCCCAGTTCCTGGCACAGAGTTCTTAAAACCCTGGGAATTTCCTGAATGATTAGAGGTGAGAAGAGAGTTTTTTATTTTTCCTAGTAAGCCCCTTTCAACCATACCTGAGTTTTTGCTCATGAGGTGACCCTTGGAGGATGACAACGTGTTGCCAGAGGAATCAACCCCGGGATTAGAGAGTTGGAAACTTCAGCTTCAATCCCTGACCTCAGGGAGTGGGGGAGGGGCTGGGGATTTTCAATCACAGTGGCCAGTATTTTAATCACTTATGCTTACATAATGGAACCTCCATAAAAACCCCTAAACAACAGGGTTCAGGGGTCTTCCTGGGTTGGTGCCACGCAGGGGTGTTGGGAGGGTGGCACTCTTGGAGATGGCATGGAGGCTCCTCACCCTCCTCCCTTCTACAATGCGCTGCGCATCTCTTTTATTTGGCTACTTTTTTGAGTTGTAGCATTTACAATAAAGCCGTAAGTAAAGTGCTTTCCTGAGTTCTGTGAGCCATTCTAGAAAATTATTGAACCTGAGGAGGGGATTGTACTGTTTACGTAAGAAATGTCCAAACCTGTAGAGAATTTTTAGGAGTTTATTTGAGTCAAACTTATGACAATTTCCAGGAAGCAAAATCTCAACAGATTGAAAAAATGCTCCGGAGAATGACAGTTTTGCGGCTTATTTTATACGTTAGAATCAAATGAGGAGATATAAGGGTGTTACATGAAATCTATTGGTGGTAGGTTAAGGGGGTGAGAAAAAACAAAAGTAGGAAAATCTCTGGGATTGGGTGAAAGGTAAAATAGAGAAACACATACTTCTTTTTCTTTGGTGGGTACAAGGTAGTTAATAGTTAACAGTTCCAGCACATGGAGATGGTGTTCAGGGAACAAGATAACAATGAGGGATTCTGTGGTCTCCTGCTCAGGTGCAGTGGGCTGTACCCTGAGGGATCCAAAATAAGGGATTATACTGACATTCCAAGGGCATGTTATCTTAGATGCAAAAAGACAATAGACAGGCTCATGTAAGGTAAAGACTGACCTTTGTCAAGGAAGCTATAGGCCAAGGATGTGACTTCCCGCCACGACCTACTTTTAATCAGGAATTTTTATGTTCAGACCATCCTATGTGGTTACTTTTGGTCTCTGAGTTTGTAAGGCCTACCATACAAGCTGTCCCTGAGCTTGTCAGGTTTAGTATCAGGCCGCTTTTTCTTTCATAATACGAACTCCAGAATTTATAGCCAGCTGGTCAGAAGTACTGGGACTTACAAATGACACCTGAAGTGAGGGGAGTCTTGTAAGACTGAGCCCTTGATCTGTGGGGTCTGTGATAACTCTGGGTAATGTCAGAATTGAACTGAATTATAAAACATCCAATTCGTGTCAGAGAATTGGAGAATTGTTGGGTGTTTGAAAGACACCATGCATTTGGTGTCAGAAGAAACCTTACAGACACACGCCAATCTTTTAGACCCAGCTAAAACGCTGGCTCCCTCACAAAGCCCTTTGGTATTGCCCCAGCCGGAAGCACTAGCTGCCTTTGCTGAACACCAACAATGCTTTGTATTACCTGCTTTATAACTCTTACCACTTTCTTTTATCATTTTTATTTACCTACATGTATTATCTCTTGCACCGTAGTATAAGATTCTAGAATGGGGTGGTGGTGGGGGGAGGTTGGTCCTTGCCTGGTTTCATTTTTCTATTCCCCACAGTGCCTTACACATTAAAAAAAAAAAATCAATCAGTATTAGTGAAATTAAGACATAAAAATATTTGTGTTTCTGTCAATATCCTTCTAAAATAATATAGGTGTGATTATTCTTAAAAATATGTACCACCTAGCTATCTCTTTTGAAATTCTCACTGCCTTGCAAAATAAAATCTAATTTTACAAGACAGAACTGTATTTGTTTTGACTGAAGATACAAGAACAAATGGGTCCCCTCCCTCTAGATCCCCATGACAAGAACAGCCCCTTCGGCCTGACCTGAATCAATGTTGTGAGAAGGACTTGCCAGCAGCAGCAGTTGCACCTGTTTAAAGTCAGGTAGACTTCAGGTAACAATGGCATCTCACCTGAACAGTTATTGGATGACAATGCAGAGCTTCACTGATGATGAGAACAGCCTTTCCCACCCTCCTATTTATCTGGCTCTTTAGCAAGATTTCCTAGGATAAAGAACATTAAAAACCACCTGCCTGGTGGTTTGAATCTTAGATACACAAAGAAGTGCCCTGTAAGAAACATGCTGCCAAGAGAGAAAATATAATAACAGGTATAGAATGGTGCTCATCCCTTAATTAGCTGCGTTTTACAAAAGGACAACTGTTGGCAAGACACTAATACACCATTGCCTTTTAGACATATGGAAAATTTAACTCATTATGCATTTTTCTGAGTGGTCCCTGAAGTACATTGCTTGTCCTGGTTCCAAAGAAAAAACCCTCAGTTCACCTAAATGAGGAATAGGGCATGCCCAATTTTGGTATCTTTAACTTTATCTCTGAAAGTTATTTTTCTTTCTTTTCAAAGCAGTTTCCACAGTTGGCCAGACAAATTCTCAGATAATAGCTGGTAAAAATTCTCATATAATCTTCACAGATATGCTTTTCTCCTTTTGTTAATGTTCTGTCACTAGCATTTGGCAGAGGGAAATAAGAATTTTCCTATGTCCTACTAAATGTCATTAGACAAGGATTTTTTTCCTTTGTTAACAGAAATGATTTTGCCTTATAAAAAGTTCTTATTTTTCCTGGAACCAAGATGACTCTCTAATAATCTGCAACTTACTTTTTAGTCATTTGTATTGTGTTGATTAAGAGTGTTCACATTTTTTTGCTAGAAGACTACATCATTTTAACAGTTCTATATTCAAGTAACTTTTAAAAATTCAAACCAGAGTAAAGGCAATAATAAGTTCACTTTATTTTTATGATAGCTGTATGCACTGATCAAAAAGCAATATTATGTAAGAAGAGAATAAAATGGGATATAGGTCCATTTTTGTTAATTGTCTTATTTTAGAAAATGCTCTGGCAAATTTTATGTCATGAAACAAACTGGTAAATAATGAATTCAACAAGTTATCGTCACCTTGACATCTAACTAACACTGATTTTGCTGTATTAGTGTTATGCAATCTAGGGTCATCATGAATTTTGGCCTGATTTGCTGAAAGCAGTACATTTCTACTTTCCATTATTCTTCTACTGCACAGATGGTGTTGACTGGCTTCATAGATAGGTGACCTATGCAGTCACATGCGGCCCTGTGCTCAGCATGCCCATGAGGACAGAACTCTGGAAGCCCCATCATTTATGTTCAGCAACACTTACAGTGAGTACAAGATAGACATGTCTACAACTAAGTGGGGCTACGGACGGCTCCCAAAAGCCATGCTTTCTGTCTGAACTAGCGCTTGCTTCCAATGCAGAAAGAAGCAATAGCATTCTAACAAACACACAACCGGTGAACCCTTCTTACTCTTATAATTTCCCGGATTAGCCCCACTTGTGCTGAAGATGACATAGAAAGAAAGGGCAACCTAGAGTTCCTTTTCCTTCCAATCTTTCCTTACTCATTAGTAAGCCAAAGACGGGGAGTGTTGGTAGAATATCCGTGTAGTAAGAAGTGAAAGAAAAACAATTGAATTAGGTTCGTTTCTACTTTTCTGTTAAGAACAAAATGCACATACACATATGAGCTGCGAAATACGAAATGTGTAATTTTGGAGATTTCCAGATATGAGTGAAATGCTCTTCTATTTGCATTTAAAACCAGCATTGCACAATATAAATATGAACAGTAAAATCTATGTTAATGACATAAAATTTTCATTTTCTTTACTTAGAATGACATTATATAGCACATAATACATGACAAGTTGAGAGGGAAACCGTAGAAAGAGGGGGAAAGTTTTATATTTTAATATCTTCGATGGCAACTTTTGAACAAGGGACACCACGTTTTCATTTTGCACTGGACTCCACAAGTTATATAACCATCCTGCTCTGAGCCCTAGGGTGTGAAAATTCATTTTAAGCAATCACTCCCAACAGCCTGTTTCAGTAGTAAATTGGTTGATTTCGATGACATTGATCAAAAGGGATGGTTTGGTCTCTTAAAAGTTCAAGTTCTAGAATAACTTTATAGAGTTAGCACAGCAAAATAGAAGTCTGGTGCTGGGTGCAGGAGGCCCAAGTTCAGACCCACTTCCTGAGCTCCTATCAGATGTGGATGCACACTGGCTGACATGTATGACCTAAACTCCTGTTCTTTACCTAGCTGCAAGCGCTGTACCTCACTGCCTTCCTGCAGAGAGCTCCCGACCAAGGGTCCTGAGCATCACCAAAGGGGAGTGTCCCATGCTCTTACAAGCTCCCTGCCCGTTTTTGTCCCCACAAGGGCACTTGTCATGCTCTTTCCCACTTGCTCTAGCCCTCTTTTCATCTCAATGCCACCTACTCTTGTAGCTAGGTGCTTGAACAAGCCTTACCACTTACAATAGCTACACTATTTCTGCTGCAAATTAAAGACACATTAAAGAACAGGAGATTTGTTGGTTTGAAGGACAGGATGAGGACTCCTTGGGTCTCCATCTCTGAGGTTTGCCTTCCTCCCTGCTGGCTCCACGGTAGCCCCAGACCTTGTCAAAATCACCCAGGCCCACTCCAGAGCGACTGCATCAGAATTTCTAGAGATAGGGCCCCCAAACTCTGAGCTTGAACAAACTCTCCTGGAAATTCTTTGGCACACTAAAGTTTGGGAGCCTCTGCCCTAGAGGGTCCTGGCCACTCTGAGGGCCTTGGTGGCAGAGTCACCAAGCCAGCCATTACAGCGGGGCCACTAGTTCCTTTGTCTTGGTCTCTTTTGATCCTTCAGTCGCCAATTAAATCCACCCAGGTAAAAATACACCAGAGTCCCTGGCTCACCAGGTAAGCAATGCCTGTCTGGGTACTAGATACAGCTCTGAAATGTCAGCAAGTTATTTCTCTCTCTGCTTTCTGGTAGGTTTCCCTATAAAATGTAGACAATCAAACCTTATCTGCCAAAAGGCCTGAGACTGCTGGAGTTTTCTATCACTTCTAAAATATATAACTCAAGAAAGTCAAATGACTTGGTGATTGCAGCCCATTTTATTAAACAACATGTTAAGGAAAGCAAAACATGCCATTGTATCATCCATGACTTCCGAGAAATCAGGCACACGAGGCGTCCTATTAAGGGTGAAGGAGGAGCTATCGCTTTTGGTATTGTCTGAAGAAAATTCAATAAGCAGGCTTAAGATAGAAGGGGCTGAAGATGAGATTGGTTATAAGTGGCCTGAGGAAAAGAGCAACACTGTGCTCCCTTCGGTGTGCAAGGAGAAAACGAGCTGCACTGCTGGGAGCCAAGGCAGGGAGCACGTTTGAACCCTGTTTCTATTTTAGTAGCATTTACTGCCTAAAGCTTTGGTTTTAGGAAGTCACTGAGTCTTTCCAGGAACATCTATTCCTTCGTCTCCCTCTCCTCCTAGGAAAGGCTCTTAATGCTGCCAGCCCTTTGCCTTTCACTTTGCTGTTGCTGTGGTCCAAATTTGCATTTCTTTCCTTAATGTGAGTTATTGTCTGGGTTCTCACTTAGGTCACAGTCATGGCTGTTACACGGAAGGGCTTCGAGAATGTGCTGTCCTTTCCACTGAGGTTTACAGGGATGGACAGAAATGTACACCAACATCAGCCCATAGCACCCATTTAGAGCTTGAGGCTCAGACACAATGTGTGCAGCAGTGTAGGAATTAGGGGCACAGGCTTGGGGCCACCCCACTGGGTTGGAATCCCAGCTCCACCATTTCATGATATTTGTTTGAGCAAATGACTGGACAGCTTTGGGTATTACATATCTCCTTCTGAAAAGTGGGGGTCATAAGGATCACTTTCTCTTCCTCCACTTCCTGTTGGCACAGATCTTTTTGCCCAGATGGACCAGAGTGGCCTTGGAAAAGGCAGGGCCAGTCGTGAGTCTCTTATGTCTGTGATGAGAATAAAAAGACTTTACCTGGAACATAGTAAGTGCTCACTAATTGCTAGCTATTATTTTCATATTTTAAGTGCCTAGCAAAAGTGTCCAGCAGATATAGCACATTTTCAACAAATATCTATTTATGTGTATGTATTACTTACATATTTAAATTCTTTTTTTTTTTTTAAGATTTTATTGGGGAATTGGGAGAGGGGAATAGCACTGGGGAATCACGGGAAGGGAAACAAGACAAGTTGCTGTCATTTTGTTCTTCAGTCTGGTTGTGGAGGACGTTGCTTCACTGGCCCAAGTTGGCACCATCATTGCGCTCTTCCCGGGTGAGGCAGATCAGTTGCCGCCCTCTAGACAGCCGCTCACAGCGGCTCTTGGCTGCTCACGCTGGCTATCAGCCACACACGGTAGCTTATGGCAACCCACTGCAGCTTCACTGCAGCCTACGCCATCGCCAGCGACTCACAGCAGCCAAGCTCCAGGTCGAGCTGTTGTTCACCATCTTAGCTGTAGACGGCAGTGTCACTGGCCCTCATATGTGGGATCCAAACCGGGGCCCTGCTGCTCAGAGCTGGCATCCCAAGCCAGCTCTTAACTAACGTGCCACTTGGCCAGCCCTTAAATTCATTTTTCTGTCTAGTTGAGGATGCCAAAAGATAGAGGCCAAAAGTGAGATGGAATAGGGAAGGTGTGCTATGGAGAGGTGAGGAAGAGGCTGTTTTTGTACAATTACATATATGTTCGATTTTTCTCACTATTTCTAACATCTTTTATTCTCTTTTCCATTTTTTTAATCCCTTTTTCTGAACTGTTTTATATAAAATGTTCTGATCTGTTGTTAAATGCATCCATTGAATTCTTCCTTTTCATTGTCTTTTTCAGTTCAAATATAATCATTTAATTGGTTTTTTTTTAGTTTCCAGTTGTCTGTTTATATATTTCATCTTTTCATTTCATTTCATGACATTTTGATCATAGTTATTTTTTATTTATTTACTTTTTTTAGCTGAGCCATCCTGCCACCTATTGGCAGCTCAGCAGCAGCTCAGCTCGGGCCATGAATAGAAACGGCGACCCTGTTGCTCAGAGCTCGCACCCTTGAGCAAGCTCTTAACCAACTGAGCCACTCGGCCGGCCAAATCATAGTTATTTTTAAATCCCTGTCAGGATACCTCCAATAGCTGGATCTTCTCTGTCTCTGTAATGATTGTTTGATTTTTAAAAACCTTTTTATTTTGAAATATTTTTAGGCCTAGAATTGCAAAGATAATACAGAAAATTCCTGTATCTCCTTTAATCAACTCCCCTCAGTGTTAACACCTTATATAACCTTTTATAATCATAGTACAAGTTTCAAAACTAAGAAATTAACATCGGTACAATATTATTCACTAAACAGTAGACTTTATCTGGATTTCCCCAGTTTTCTTCTAACATCCTTTTCCTGTCACAGGATCCCATCCAGGATCCCACCCTGCACTTAGTCCCTGTGTCTCCTTAGTCTCCTCCAGGCTGCGACAGCTCCTCAGCCTTTCCTTGTATTTCATGACCTTAACACTGAAATGTACTGACCAGACATTTCATGGAATCTCTCAGTTTGGGTTTATCTGATGTTTCTCATGGTGGGAATGAGGTTGTGGATTCTGGGGCAGAAGACCACAGAGCTGATGTGCCCTTCTCAAGACATCAGACTTGAGGACACACAATGACAACACTTTTTATTACCAATGATGTGTACCTTGGTCACATGACTAAGATTATGTGGGCCAGGTTTCCCTGCTGTAAAGTGACTATTTTCCTTTTCCAGACTCTTAGTTAGAAGTGAATCAGGCCAAACCACACTTAAGGTGAGGGGAGTTCAGTTGTGGAGGGAAGAGTATCAAGAATTTGTGAAGTAGAGTCATTAATTGCTGTTAACCACAGTAATTTATCAGCATTTGGGGAGTGATATTTTGAAGCTATGCAAAATCCTGTTTCTCCTTAAAATTTTGCCCACTAATTTTAGCATTCATTGGTAGATCTTGCCTGCACCAATTATTACTGTAATGTTCTGGTAGTGATTTTCTATTTCGCTCAGTCCTTCCACACTTATTAATTGGAACTTTTCTGTAAGGAAGAGTTGTCCCTTATGCCCATCTATTTAATCATTTTTATTGATGTGGGCTCATA